AGTGCAGTAGGTCATGATTTGGTAGCTGGTGCTGATATTAATCTTCTCTTTAAATGAAAATCCACTGGCTCTTCGTGTGCCTGTTGGGATAATCAGGAAGAGAAACACTCATAACACTCGTTTATACTTGGGGGGAAGGGATTTACTATTACGTCTTGATTGTGTGTTACGTGCAGGATAGTTGATTTAAAAATTAGCTTCCATGTTTATGTCAATTGTGAAAATTATATAGGCCTAATACCACAACTTTTTTTTTAGTAGTTCACAGAAAAATCTCTGTCGTTTACTTATGCGCATGGGGTTCCAAACCCTTCCATTCATCTTCAGAACACAAATGAAGATATTTTTAATGAGATCTGAGAGATTTCTATCATTCTGTTGAGAGCCTATTTACCCAAGTGCTCTGATGCTTCAAAACTTTCATAAAGACTTTGTAAAATAAATCAAGTGAGTCTTCTGAAGATACACAATCGCTTTATATTATGAACAGATTTTATTTAGGCTTTGATTCACATATCAACATTTATTAGCAAACTACATCGAGCGCTTAAATTAATTTGGTAAACAGAACCTCATGCTTGCTTGTATCTGTGTGAACAAAATTGGATTTATTTTATCACTTTATGAATATTTTGAGGCTTCAGGTTTGGGTGAATTATAGAGACTGAGGGAGGGGCAGAAATCTCTAATTTCATTATCTTCATTTCATAGTTCCAGAGAGGAAAGTCTTACTGGTTTGGATCGACATGAGAGTGACTTAGAGAATTTTTAGGACAGTTTTACAAAGGTATAAAATTGCATGTAACAAAGTTGTTGCTATTAATCTGGATACTCGACAAATTAGTTTCACAGACAGTGCTTAAATGAGCCGGGATTTGGGCTTAGTTCAATTTAGGACCTTTAAGACGGCTTTCATAAATGTGCCTTAGAAAAAAAAAAAAACATTACTGCTGTGCATCTTGAGAAAAAAACACTGGCAGTGACATATTTTAAGTTATGCCTGTGCAAGTTGCTTTCAGTTGAAACAGCTCAAACATGTTTGGGACTAGCTCAAGCCTTTGTCTGTGAATCCAGGGGCACATGTTTTTGCAATGATTGATTCATGCTGGTCTGAATTGTATGTTGGATTGTAGGTTTGATGTGTTTCATGGTGAACAGACCACACAGCAGGAGGTGTTTCTGACCTCTGTCAAGCCCATCCTCCCCCACATCCTTAATGGTCAGAATGCCAGTGTGTTTGCCTATGGACCCACCGGAGCAGGTATTGTTCCTGGCTTTGTCTTTTGCAGTTAATTTGGCTTTTTAGATTTGAACTAAGTTTTATGAAGTGATTCTTATTAAATTTTCATGATGTGCTATTATATAGATAGACATTTCACACTGTAACACGGAGGATTTCTTCTTCCTCCTCTCTTCAGGAAAGACCCACACCATGTTTGGCAGTCAAGAGGAGCCGGGGGTCATTCCCAGAGCTGTGAAGGAGGTCTTCAATCTGGTTGGAGCTCAGGAAAAGGGTCAGGATGGTTGGGAATACTCAATTGGGATGTCTTACTTGGAGATCTACAATGAAAAGGTATTCTTTTGTGGGTGTACATGCGTACCACAGAATAGTTGCGCTTTTTAATTTATTATTATTATTAATATTATTGTTTAATGGCTTTCACGGTTCCTTGGTTAAATTCATCTTGTAATGAACGGCATTTTAGTGCTACTTTGAGTGTGAATTATCATATGCATTGAAAGACAATAATATACAAAAACTGTAAAGCCCGGAACGCACCAAGCTGACGGTCGGCCTTCGGGCAGTTTTTTGTGGATCGTCCAAATAAGTTTACTCGGTGTGTTCCACACGGTTCCGTGCCGTCAGCTGAACATAGTCCCCGTCGGCTTTGTTTCGCCTGATTTGACATGTTGAATCGGCGTCGGGGAAAGAGAGAACTCTGATTGGCTGTTCAGCTTAGTGAAAGAGTCGGTGCACGAGAATAAAAGCCAAACAGCAAGCAAAGAAGCCAAAACTTTTATCTTCTGTTAATATCTAAATATTAACATGAGTGGAGTGGAATGAAGAAAGTGTTTAGCAGGAGTGATATTCAAAACGGTAAGCACGCGTTGCTTTGTTTACAGTATGTGTATCTGCAGCCGGCAGCCTCGGTTTTTCTTTTTGAATGGCGAATATGGACTAATATATCTGCAGAAATGGGCAGTTGGCTCATTACACGCAGGCGCGGAATGCACATTCTAGCTAACAGTCACCTGTAGTTCTCTCGGTGTGTTCAAGTGCAGCTTTTTACCCGACAAGAGCGGAAGAGAGGCGATAACAGAGTCGGATTTCATCAGCGCTAGTTCGTCAGCTTGGTGTGTTCTGGGCTTAAAGGTTTTGCCACAAACTCAATTGACTGGGTTCTCTCCTGTGTGATTTCACATGAGTCTCTTCAGACCTTAGAACTGACTGAGGCTGTGTGTGTGACGACCTAATTGAACTCTTTTCCACAAATTGAACACTTAAGTTATTTTAAAGGTTTAGGTCTTTGCCTAGGCCTATTTTTAATTTCTGTACAAATTTCTGTGCGGAGGCAGGCGAAAGTAAACAAGGCAGCGTGAGTCTCCACAGACCGCGCGCGCACCGCTCCAAACGGTCGAGGCGTTTATACTTGGAGCGCTCTCCGTTTTACTATTCCTTGAAACTACAGGGGACGACTCAAGTAACTGTCCTCTAACCATCAGGAATCGGTGAGAAGAAGAAAGATAAACACATGACCGTGCTTATTTTTTTAGTAGGCTATTCCACCACCAATACAAAAATAATCATGTAAAATCCAGTAAACCCTGAGATTATTACTTGTGACATTATAAAAAATATGTATATGGGATTGGGAACTATGTATATGTATGTATAGAACTAAATTAATGCTCTCTTAAATATTTAAATACATTCACTAAACATGTTTCATTAAGTTTCATGTACATTTGTATTTAACATGGACTATTGTTCATTTAAAAATGCTTTTTATGCTATTGTATGCCAAATTTTTAAAATGTAACTAATTTAGACATGCAAACTGGGTCCTGGTTTGATGAAGTTTGCGCTCGCTCGGCTTTGTTTTTGAGAGAACGTTTCATTTTAAAACCTTTCTGCAGGCCAGTAGATTATTATTTAGTGTACACATGAGTGGGGTCAAGTTAAACATTTTAGTTAGAATTTTATTTTATACTGTGCATTGTGCTAAATAAATATTTGCATAATTTGTAATTGATTTATTCTTTGAAAATATGAAATTAATATGCAATTGCATTATTGCAATGCCTTGATTTTAGTAAAGTTTGTACCCAGTCATAGC